GAGGGGGGGAGGGGAGGGGGTAGCAAGGGAGGCTGCAAGGGAGGCGGCGGCGGCGGAACGGGCGAGAGTGGAGGGGGAGGAGGAGGTGTGGAGGGAGGTGGTGAAGGGGGAGGCGGCGATGGAGGAGGAGGCGGCGAGGCAGGAGGAGGCGGCGGAGACGGAGGAGGTAGAGAGGGGGGGGGAGGCGGCGGGGGGGGCGGCGGAAAGGAGGGCGGCGGGGGGGAGAGTGGCGGGGGAGAGGGGGGCGGCGGGGAGGGGGGAGGCGGAAGGGGGGGCGGCGGAGGGGGGGGCGGCGGCGAGGGCGGTGGGGGAGACGGGTGCGGCGAGGAGGGGAGCGGCGGAGAGGGGGAGAGGAAGAGAAGAGGAAAGGAGGAGGTTTGACGGGGGCGGGAGCGGACACCACCCTTGCGGGATTTCCGTGCCAGCAAGTAATAATAATTATTATCCCCCCCCTCCCCCTCGCAAAAGAAAAAACGAAGGCAAGCCGATCGCGTAAACGGCGTCGAATGAAGCCCGCCGAGTTTGATCGACAATCGCGAGATTTGCACGCCGTCGAGCAGAGGATCAAAGAAAGAAAACAGACACCCCAAGAGAGGGATGGGAGGACGGCACGCCGCCACCACACAGGGATTTTAAGGAGAGGAGTGTGGTGCTGGCCGTCGCCCACCCTCGGGCGTCTACCACTTCCTATCTCTCTTCGCAGTTTCTCACCAATTCTCGCAGCGACCTTCATGCCACCTCTCGTTCTTCTCACTCTCGTCCTCGTTCTCTCCCCTGCTGTTTCATCCTCTGACTCATCGCTCTCCTCGGCCTCGTTCTGAGACGCCGCTGCCGTCTGCCTTGCTCTCGCTGCTTCTCTCGCCGCTCTGCGTAACTCCGCCCTCCTCGCGGCATAATTTGACCCCTCGAGTTTATCGAGCTCCCCTCGCGCAAGGACCACATTTCTGACTCCCACTCCGATCATTTGCCTCCAAGTCATGTCGTTGCTCAGGTCCACTCTCTCTTCGAACACTTGTACCTCAACGGTCGGTGTTGGCACTGGGGTTCCCTTCGGGTATATCGTGACAGCTGATGGCGGGATTACCACTGGTGTTTCGTCCTCCTCGGAGTCGTCTTCCCCGAGCAGAGGATCGCCGCATGGCAAATTGGGGAGAAGATTTTTTTGAGACGAGCTGCGCGACGGCCGTCCCGACTCGGTGTCCAGTGCCACTCATCGACCGCTGCAATCCACCACGGACATGGCATCGCTGCTCAACAACCTCGTCTTCTACTTTCTCTGCGGCGAGGTGCTGCTGCTGCTGCTCCTGCTCCTGCCGATGCCGGGCTCGCTGCGTCGCGTCATGCTCCGCTGGGTCGCCCTATCTAGAAGCATTGGGCAGCATGGCCTCACTAACCGCACAGCGCCACAGCGCCAAGTGCGCTGCTGGACACTGCAGGCACTCACCACCCGTGATGTGTTGCAGGTCGCATCCTCGCGGCTGCTCGCTGCGATTGCGCGACCGCTCTCATACCTGGCCTTCGCTGTGGTCGCCATGTTTGTCATGGTTACCCGCGAGATGCTCGCCCACCAGGCGGCGTGGGCGGAGAGGAAACGCGAGCCCGCCGACAAGGCCGGCCTCGGGCTTGGGGTGTCCTCGCTTGAAGTGCGGATGCTGCGCTCGCAGAGAAACTGGCGAACCGCCGCCTGGCCTCGGGAGGCAGCCCCGCGCTCCCTCCACGAGCGTCTCTTGATGCGTAGGTACCTCTCCGGCTTTGCGTGTGTGCTGATGCTCGTGATTTGGTGACGTGGACGCAATGTTGTGGCGATATCGTGGACACACGGCCCGTGAGATACCCGCACCGTTTGTCAGGCGCGTGTACGGCATGGTCAAGGAGATCCATGCGCTGCGCGACAAGCCGCACAGCTCGTGACAACTCGTGGAGATGTGCGTGCGACATGGCTCAGAGCAACAACACATCGCAGGACGAGGGGAGAGACCAGGGATTCCTCCCATCCTCCTCGGAGTCAGTGGCCGCGCTCGTCGCCGCAGTCACCTGCACGCGGGGTCAAGAGAAGAGGGACTAGAAACGAGTCGTGAGTTCGGGGTGGAGCTTGATGTGGGCATTGCACGCCGTAGTCCTGTCAACAGCCTGTCTCCTGTGAAGCGAGTCGTAGCCTAGACACACCGCCTGAGCTCCTCCTGAAACACCTCGATCGAGGAGGGGTGCGCGCGGTGTTGGCAGTTGGGCGGTGCTGCATTTACATGCACATGTGCTTTTAATGTTGCCACGGTGTGGCCTCGCTGGCTCTGCCCTCTGTGCGCTCTGAGGGCGGCCTCTCTCACAGACCCTCTCTCTCTCTTGTTGAGGGGGTAAAGGGCAAAAAGAGTGGCGCGATGAACGCGCCGCGCGGGGCGCCGCCTCACCGGCCCTCGCCAACGCCTCACAAGTGGCGCAGAGAGTGAGGCGGCGCACGGCGCACCGCGAGCGAGCACGTGAGCCCCGTGGCTCCAACCGGGCCCTTCCTTTTTTTGAGCAGGTGTGCCGCCGCGCGATCCGAGATCGCCCGAGATGGCGCGGCGCGGCCCCGAGTGCCGAGATCGCCCGAGAATTGCGCGAGATCGCCCGAGATTGCGCGGCGCGGCCCGGGGCGAGGTGGATGGGTTGGGAGCGAGGGGGCGGAAGTGATCATTTACCCTGCGTTCTTGCACATGGAGTGCAAGATACTCGTTCTGTTGCCGTCCCAATCTGTCACTCCCCTTTCTCCCGGCCGGGGTGGGGCGCGCGCGGGGGCGGCGGGTGTGCGGGATGTCTGTCGGGGCCCGAGAGCGAGATGCCATGTCGTTGCTTTGTTTCCTAACATCGAAGGCTAGCTCAAAAAAGAGTTCAAGGCTCCTAAAAAAGAATTCTTAACCTTTCGTGAGACACACCTCTTGAGGCACGCGCTCGCCAGTGCAAAGTCTTGCCGCGGCGTCCACGCCTCCCCCGCGGCACGCCGCGCCGCCAGCGGACTCTTCCGCCGCCGCCTGCCTCTCGCGCTGTGGGCGGGACCCGCGGCCAGTCGCCCTCGCCAGCGCACACGGCGCATGCGAGCGGCGTGCTGATGATGTGTGTCTTCTGCGGTAGGCTCGTACCAAAACAACTCGCCGAACGCCTTCAAGATGGTGAACTGTGCGTCGCCACGCCCGCCGCCTCGGCCCGTCGCGCGCGCCTCCGGCTGCGCGGGAGCACGGGCCTGCTGCGCTGGGCCCGTCTGAGCGCTGTCTGCCCCCTCTTCCCTGCGTGCAGTTACCATGGAGGAGCTCCAGGCTATTCAGAAGAAGCCGACCAACATCCGGAACATGTCCGTGATCGCGCACGTCGATCACGGCAAGTCGACCCTCACCGACTCGCTCGTCGCCGCGGCGGGCATCATCGCGGCGTCGGCGGCTGGCGACACGCGCCTGACCGACACGCGTCAGGACGAGCAGGACCGTTGCATCACCATCAAGTCCACCGGCATCTCGCTCTTCTTCAAGGCGGAGGAGCACTACAAGCTCCCCCCCGACTCGAACGGCAACGAGTTTCTGATCAACCTCATCGGCGCGTTTGCCCGCTCCCTTGCCCAGCCCTGTGCGCCCCTCGCCGCAGCCGCTCACCTCGCCCCCTCCGCACTCCCGCGCGGCGTAGACTCGCCGGGCCACGTTGACTTCTCGTCCGAGGTCACCGCCGCGCTCCGCGTCACCGACGGCGCGCTCGTCGTCGTCGATTGCGTCGAGGGCGTCTGCGTGCAGACCGAGACGGTGCTGCGCCAGGCCATGGGCGAGCTTATCAAGCCGGTGATCACCATCAACAAGCTGGACCGCGCGTTCCTCGAGCTGCAGCTGCCGTCGGAGGACATGTACCAGGCCTTCGTCAAGCACATCGAGAACGTCAACGTCCTCGTCGCCACCTACAACGCCGAGGCGATGGGCGAGTGCCAGGTCGACCCGACCAAGGGCACCGTCGCCTTCTCGGCGGGCCTGCACGGCTGGGCCTTCACGCTGACCAAGTTCGCGCGCATGTACGCCAAGAAGTTCAACGTCGACATCGAGAAGATGATGACCCGCCTCTGGGGCGACAACTACTTCAACCCCAAGGAGAAGAAGTGGATCAAGGCGGCGGGCGGCGACGCGCCCAAGGGCCTCGAGCGCGCCTTCTGCCTCTTCTGCCTGACGCCGATCGCGAAGATCTTCAAGAACTGCATGGACGAGCAGTACGACGCGGTGACCAAGATGCTCAACGCGGTGGGCGTGCAGCTCACCAAGGATGACCTGCAGCTCCGCCAGAAGCCGCTGCTCAAGCGGTGCATGCAGAAGTGGCTGCCGGCGCACGACGCGCTGCTCGAGATGCTGGTGCAGCACCTGCCGTCGCCGCGGCAGGCGCAGAAGTACCGCGCCGAGGCGCTCTACACGGGCCCGTCGGACGACATCTGGTGCAACGGCATCCGCGAGTGCGCCGCCGAGGGCCCCCTCGTCATGTACATCTCCAAGATGATCCCGACGCCCGACAAGGGCCGCTTCTTCGGCGCGCGCCCCTCTAGGGAGGAGCCGCGCCCCTAGGGACGAGCCGTGACTCGCACGCGAGTAGACGCCGCACACTCTGGCGCCGCGGCCCTCGCTCCGCACTGAGCCCGCGAGTGCGTCGGGCACTCAGAGACGCGCGCCCTCACCGCCCCTCGCCCCGCCCGCAGCCTTCGGCCGCGTCTTCTCGGGCACCGTGCGCACGGGTGCCAAGGTCAAGATCATGGGCCCGAACTACGTGCAGGGCAAGAAGGAGGACCTCTTCATCAAGAACGTGCAGCGCACCATCCTCATGATGGGCCGCAAGACCGAGTCGGTCGAGTCGGTCACCGCGGGCAACACCTGCGCGCTGGTCGGCATCGACCAGTACATCGTCAAGGCGGGCTCGATCGCCGACGCGGACGCGACCGAGTGCCACCCGATCGTCACCATGAAGTACTCGGTCTCGCCCGTCGTGCGCGTCGCCGTGGCGCCGAAGAACCCCAACGACCTGCCCAAGCTGGTCGAGGGCCTCAAGCGGCTCGCGAAGTCGGACCCGCTCGTCGTTTGCTCCATGGAGGAGTCGGGCGAGCACATCATCGCGGGCTGCGGCGAGCTGCACATCGAGATCTGCCTCAAGGACCTGCAGGAGGACTTCATGAACGGCGCGCCCATCAACATCTCCGACCCCGTCGTCTCGTACCGCGAGACCGTCTCCGACGAGTCGTCGCGCACCGTCATCTCCAAGTCGCCCAACAAGCACAACCGCCTCTACTGCAAGGCGCTGCCGCTCGGCTACGGCGAGGACGACGCGCAGACGCCCCTCGCGGACGCCATCGAGGAGGGCGAGGTCTCGGCGGGCATGGACCCGAAGGCGCGCACGCGCGTGCTCGTCGACAAGTTCGGCTGGGACAAGCAGACGACGCAGAAGATCTGGTGCTTTGGCCCCGACGGCACCGGCCCTAACCTCGTGGTGGACGTGACGGTGGGCGTGCAGTACCTCAACGAGATTAAGGACTCGGTGGTGGCGGGCTGGCAGTGGGTGTGCAAGGAGGGCCCGCTCTGCGACGAGACGTGCCGCGACGTCATGATCCACATCCACGACGTCGTGCTGCACGCCGACACCATCCACCGCGGCGGCGGCCAGATCATCCCGACCGCGCGCCGCTGCTTCCTCGCCTCGATGATGACGGCGTCGCCGCGGCTGCAGGAGCCCGTCTTCATGTGCGAGATCCAGTGCCCCGAGGCCGTCAAGGGGCAGGCGTACTCGTCCATCACGCGCAAGCGCGGCCAGGCGAGCGCCCGGCCCCGCTCCCCCCTCCCCCCTCCCGCCCTCGCCTCGCTCCGCCTCGCTCCCCTCCACGCGCCCCCTTCCGTCTCCAACCTGCCTCCCCCCCCCCCCCCCCCATCCAGGTGGTCGAGGAGATCAACCGCCCCGGTACCCCGATGTGGACCGTCAAGGCCTACCTGCCCGTCTCGGAGTCGTTCGGCTTCACCTCCTTCCTCCGCCAAAACACGGGCGGCCAGGCCTTCCCGCAGCTCGTCTTCCACCACTGGGACACGATGCCGGGCGACCCCTTCACTAACAAGGACACGATCGAGCTCGTCACCGGTGCGCTCACCAACCACTCCCTCCCTCCCCGCCTGCTCCTCCCCTCCTCTGCCTCCCCTCTCCCCTCCGCGTCCGCATCGCTTCACCCCTCCCCGTCCCGGCCGCAGGCATCCGGAAGCGCAAGGGCCTCAAGGAGATGATCCCGCCCATCTCCGAGTACGAGGACAAGCTCTAGCCGCGCCGCCGAGAGCCGCACGCACGCGGCGGGCGTAACGTGCCCCCTCCCCCTCTTCCCATACCGCTGGATTCCCCCTTTGAGCTCCGTTTGTCATTCGGCGCCGGATCGCGGCGGCGGATGGATTGCACCCCCCCGCACGATGCTAATGCCATAGTGCATCCTCCACTCGTGTGTGGTTTTGAGCGTACGTTGTGTAAACGAAAAAGAAGAGCAGCCGCCCCCAACAAATGCATTTAACAGGCGTCACGCACGGGGCACGGCTCGGATCACGGATAGACGAGAGCGAAGACGAGTCCCGCCGTCGGCGGGGCCGCTCGCGGCGGCGGTCGGGCCCGCCGCGGCGTCCGACGAAATATGTAATCTCATGCGAATTCTCCGGACGACATTATCGATGCGGAATGCGCGAGCGCGAGCAGACGGAGAGGGAAAAACCACGTGCTAGAGCCGGCATGAGCGAGGCTTGAGCCGCTCTCAGCCCTCAAAGAGGCCCTTGACGCGGACCTGAGGAGAGCGGCGTGGGGGTGAGCTGCGACTCGCCGCACATCCTGCGAACCTTACGAGGGACGGCCGGGAGCTGGCGGGGCCAGCGCACTGTCTCTCTGGCGCATCTCGGTGGATCTCGGCTAGTTCTCGCGCGCCATCCCCTTCTCGCTCAGGTCGAGGGTGCGCTGGAAGCGGTCCACCTAGCGGCCGAGGTACAGCCGAGATCTAGCCGCGATCTGCCGAGATCTAGCCGATATCTCGCTGTGGGCGGTCCACTCAGCGGCCGAGGTGCAGCAGCAGAGACAGGAGAGCGCGGCCGAGGTCCGGTCGCGGGTGCGGTGGGAGTCCGTCCAACCTCCTCGTCGTCCCCCTCGATGACGACGTCCGACACCATCTCGTCGTCCGACGTCACAATCTTGACCTTGAAGAGGTCCGTCCGCTCGGCGTTGTCGAGGTAGTACCTATCGGCGACGCGCCGTGGACATGTCGTGGACGCGTCCCGGGCAGTCCGCCCCTCCCTGCGGCGTCGGGGCAGCACTTGCCCGCGACGGGAGAGACGAGGGTCGACGCGTACCACCAGCTGCCCAGCCCGTTCCCCTCGCCGAGCACCGACTGCTCGAGGATGGTCAGCACGAGGGAGAGCGAGCCGAGCGCGATGAAGACACAAAAGGTCAAAAAGGCGGCCCGGCCGGCGAGCGGCGCCTGCGAGATGCCGCGGGGGTGTGGCAGAGAGGTGGACGAGACCTGGCCGAGAGCTGGCCGACAATTTGCCGAGATGTCTCGGAGATGTGGCAGAGCAATGGCGGCCAGCGAGCGGCGCCTGCACGCCCTCAAAGACAATGACGTCGCCGCGGTCCTTCACCTTGTAGTTGTTAGCCTGGCGGCAGAGGCGGGCTCGCTCGCCGGTGCGACTCTCGCACGACTGTGTCGACGTGTCTCGGAAGTGTCTCGGAAGCGGCCTGGAAGAAGGCGAGGATGTCGCCGGCGAGCTCGCGCACAGGCCGGCCGGCGGGAGCGGCGGGCCCGGCGACCTCGTACGTCTTGCGCACCACCTGCGGACCAGAGGGCGGGATGGCGGCGGCGGCGGCGGCTACTGCGGCGGCGGCAGAGGCTGCGGCGGCGGCGGCAAGCGCGGCGTACCTTGGACTTGGTGGAGCGCTTGACGAGGGAGTAGACGCCCGGAAAGGCGAGGACGTAGAGCGTAAGCGTAGTGTAGTACGAGGCCGACGAAAAGCCCGCTTCTCCACTCGCGGCCGCCGCCGCCGGCAGCGGTGTTTGGAGCAGCAGTGCCGCGGCGGCGGCCAGGCCTGGTGCCGCAGGCAGCGCCGGCTCCGCGGCGCGCGAAGCTGGGCGAGTGGCTGCGAGCTGCGGACGGGCAGCGAGCTGCGGCCGCAGCGCGAAGCAGCCGGTGACGGCGAGCAACGGCAGCAGCCGCCTCTGAGATCCTGCCATGTACTCTCTTGCGCCCCTCTGAGTCCGAGAAACCCAGCGGAGGCGTGCCGAGGGGGACCGGGAGGCGGTAAGTCGTCGTTGCCCGGCGCTGCTTGCAGCGCCATGGCGATGGCGCTAAGAGGTTCCTCTTTTCCGCGCCCCCCCCCGCAAGGCGCGCGATACACAACCCGAGGAGTCACACAGTCCACCAGTGTGATGCACGCCCTGCGAGCGGGGCGGGGTGCGCACTGTCCCTCTGTGTCGTGTGCGTCGGTCGCCCATCTCTCCCTGGTGCCTGGAGATGACTGCTCTGTTTATTTATTTATTTCCCTGGTGCCTGGAGATGACTGCTCTATTTATTTTATTTTAATAAATTCCGCCACAGCGCACAGGCGTCGTTGGCGCACATACTGAGCGGCAGCTGCGCTGGAAATAAGGAAGAGGCGCGTCACTTCATGCGGAAGCTCGACAAACACACGGCGCGAGGGCGACAGCAAGAGTCGAACGGGCGGCGCCGGACTCAAAAGACACCGCCACATCCCTGAGTGAGACGCGCGAGGGCAGCCTCCTTAAAGGCAATAGGGTCTAGATTCGGAGCGCTCGCCGAAGAGGAGTACGACAAAATAGCGCCCGTGATTGCCTGCACGCTGCCCGCACTCACGGACTGATTCGGACTCCATACCCGAAAGAAAGAGAGGGGAGCTCGCGGGAGAGGTGACGTGGTGACGAGTGAACTACAGGTAGTGGGGGAAGGCAGCCTCGATCGCCATACAGACATGGGTGCGAAACAACGACAAGACCAAGGCACGGGCAGAGGAGCGAGAGAAGAATATAGGGTGGATAAAGCGCCTGTTCACGGCATGGAGGGTGAGCCACGCTGAACGCAAGGAAGCCGGGGAAGACGACTCCCAGGAGGACGAAACACCAGTGGTAATCCCGTCGTCAGCTGTAACGATGCACCCGAAGGGGACCCCAGCGCCAACATCATCGGTGGAGGCACTCAAGTGTTCGAAGAGAGAGTGGACCTGAGCAATAATATGACTTGGCGGCAAATGATAGGAGTGGGCGTCAGAAGAGTCGTCCTTGCGCGACAGCGCGAGGAGAGCTCGATAAACTCGAGGGGCCGAAATATTGCAGCGAGGAGGGCAGAGGCCAGAGCTGATGAGACGAAAGGCGGGAGAAGAAGCGAGAGCAAGGGAGCGGCAGGCGGCGACGCCGTCGCAGGACGAGGCAGAGGAGAGCGAAGCGACAGAGGATGAAGGTTGAAGCGACAAGAGAGAGAACGACGAGAGTGGGACGACCGCGGAGGTGGCATGAAGCGACAATGAAGGTTGCAGCGAGAAATTGGCGAGGGCCGAGGGACTGCGAAGAGAGATAGGAAGAGGCAGACTCCCTAGGGTGGGCGACGGCTAGCGCATTACACACCTCTCCGCTTAAAAAATCCCTGTGTGGTGGGGCGGCGTGCCGTCCTCCCATCCCTCTCCAGAGGGGTTGTCTGTTTTCTTTCTTTTTCTTTTAAAGAATTTCGCACACGCCGGTGGTGGTGGTGGGGGGGTTACGGTGGTTGGTTGTTGTTGTTGTTGTGTTGTTTTCTGTCAGTCTCGTCCTGCTCTCCGCCACCCTCCGCCTCGCCGTCACCGAGCGGCGCCATTTTCTTCTGAGTTATATTACCTGACACTTGGCGCGTAGATCGCTGGCCTCCTCGCTCGGGCGATATCTCCGCCCACCGCTAAACGGTGGGTTTGTGGAGCTGCCGTCATGTGGTGCCCGACGATGCCACCCGCACGTCGAGGTCGGGAGAGAGGCGCCTCCTAAATACTGCGAGGCCCTGCAGACTACTTGAGGGCCTTGACGACGTCCGCGGCGACCTCGTCCATGTCGAGCGCCTTGAGCTTCGTGAAGGGGCGCGGCATGTCGGTCAGAGAGACGACCGTCGTCCCGTTCGCCTTGACCTCGAAGCACCCCTTGCGCGGCTTCTCGGCGTTGATGGTGACGCACGCGCCAGGAACCGCTGCCTTGACGAGCGCGTCCACCTTGGCGGCGCCTGCGCGAGAGTGGAGGCGGGCGGAAGCACTGAATAGCTAGCGGGCTCAGAAGCGGTGGCGGTGAAAGGCGGCTCTGAATAGCTTGTGGCTCTGCAGTGATGGCGGTGCGTGTCAGCTCTGAATAGCTCTGCGGGCTAGCTGGTGGCGGTGGGCGCTGGCTCTGAGTAGTGGCACTGAAGTGGCGGCGGCGGCGGATGAGGTGGCGGCGGCGCGGGCCGGGCGAGGCTCACGCGTCTTGAATGCGCCTCAGCTCTTGCAAGCCTCGATGGTGACGTCGCTGCCGCCAGCGCTAGCGCTAGCCGCCTTTGCCGCCGGTGCCTTTGCCGGCGCCTTCTTCGCCGGTGCCTTCTTCGAGATCGTCTTCTTCGGCGCCATGATTCCTGCGGCGTGATACCGTGAGGAGAGTGTGAGTTGAGGCGAGGTGGGGCAGACAGCGCGCCGAGGCGAGGCAGGTGCCGAGGCGCGGCGGCTCGCGCTTTCTTCTTCGCGCGCGCCGAGAAAAACATTTTCAGAGGAAGTGGACCTGTGTTAGTGCCAGTGCGCGCCAGTCCGTGCCCGGTGTTGTGCGACTTGGAGCACTTGGAGCATAAATAAATAAATAGACAACCCCGGTGGGATAGGGCAGCAACCCGACGGGCAGACCAGACCCAGACAGACCCCGCTCGGAGGGCGTGCACCACACAGCACACAGACAGTCTAGGCACTGCGCGACTCCTCGGGATTTCTGGGGAGTTGGGAGCATTTGGAGCACTTGGACCATGGTAGAATTCTTTTTGCTGTCCTTGTGTCTGAGAGAGATTTTAGAAAACCAACAAGAAATCACGACGCTCACAGTGATTTGGGCTCGGCAGCTTGATGCTTGTCAGCCCTCAGCCGAAGCTGGGGCCGGTCCCGTAGGCGTAGCCGAGAGAGCCCGCGCCGATGAGTTCGACGCGGCCGGGGGGGCCTGCGCGCTGCGGAGAGGCCAGCGAGGTGGCGATCGCTGTACTTCAATCTTCACGGTGTGATCTGTGATCTGTAAGGGTCCGCCCGCAGGCGCATTTTGTATACCGAGGCGGTGCCCGGTGCCGAACCTGTCGGACCTTAAGACAGCATTGTAGATCCCTGGGCGAGGGTGATGGAGAGGGCGGTCTGTCGGCGCGCTAAACCGTAACCCGCCGGGGCGGGCCGGATCCACGCGCTGTCGGACCGCCCTGTCGGAGGTAGACCGCTCGTCTAGCCAATCAGCCTTAAGCGAGCGGTCTGGCCGTTGGAATGGCCGAGTTTGGTGGACTTGCGTCCTCGCATCGATCGTGGTTGTAGGGATATCGTTATGAACAACAATCACCACATGGGGAGGCGGCTGTCTCTGAAGGCGAACCTCAGTTACGAGCCACCCCCCCTACTTGCCTCCTCTTTGTTCCCTGGCTTTCTGTCTCTTGCGCGCCTGCTGTCCAAGCTGTGCCCCCCGCGTCTCGCCTCCTCGCACCCACCCCGGCGGGGGGGCGCCTTCGTGCCTTTCGTCCCCTGCAGTGCGTGCGCGCTCCTCCCCGTACGTCACCGGCCCCCCGTCCTCTGTGTGCTGTTGGCTCGCCCCCTCTCCCTGACTCGTCGAATCGCTACGTTCGTTCTCGAATCGCCCCCGCTTCCTCGGCGGCTGGGACGCCTCGTGCTCTGGCTGTTCCTCGTCTACGTCCATGACTGTAAATTCGTCGTCTGCCTGGCTGCCATCGTTCGGATGGCCCGTTTCGGGTGGTTGCTCGCTCGGTCCTGGCTCTGCTGCACGGTCGGGTGTCTCCTCGTCGTCGCTCCTTGCGCCCTCGTCGCTGTCGTCGTTGTCTTGGCCGGCGCGGGCTTGACTAGTTTCGGTCCCCCTGTGCCCGAGAAGCAGCTCGAGCCTCAGTCGGTCCATGAATCGTCGCGCCGAGCGGCGATTGTGGCTCGATTGTCTCCTCCTCGAGGCGCTGTTGTGGCTGCCTTGGCTGCTCTGGCTCCCCTCGCTCTCTTTCCCCTGACTCTGTTGGCTGTACTGACTCTGGCTCCCCCCGCCCTCCGCCCCTTCCTCCGTTGCTGCGTCGGGGAGCTCGAAGAACGCATCGTCGATAAAGGCCATTTCGTCGTCCGCCGAGGCGTTCTCGTCTTTCTCGTCGTCTCCCTCGTCGTCGTACGTCTCACTCACTGGCGGCTCGCTCTCCATCGGGTTCGTCGTCCCGCCTTCGGGCGTTGGGCCGTGGACTGCCTTGTCGTGCTCTGCCGTGTTCCACGGCTCGACCCCGGCTCCCTGCGCCTCGCGCACCGCGTCGAGGGTCCGCTGTGACACTTGCCTCTCGTGCCCGTGCCGAAACCGCAGTAGACTGAGGTGCCCGATCTGGTATGCCTTTGTGCCTTTGAGGGCTCGCGGGCCTCTCGGCACCCCTTTGTCTGCCCTCGGCTTGCGTGGCTTTGGGGCGTCTCCACGTTGCTGCCCCTCTCTGCGCCGCTCGTCTCGTACGCCGATGAGCTCTCGCGCCATGGCTGCGAGGCTGTCCCCGTGGCACAGCCTCCCCTCTCGACACGAGGGCGAGCATCCGAGCCGCACCACCTTGGCGTTGCCGCGGCCGTTCAGCGCGGCCCGCATCGCCGCGACGGCGTCGTTCCCCGTCCTGGCTTCGTCGGAGCGTCGAGGGGCGATCTCCTGTGAGAAGGGCTGCCCGTTGGCCTGTCGGATGAGCGCTGGCGTGGATCTAGTGTCCCACACGGCCGAGGCGGGAACGGTGCGCAGCCGGAGCCACGTGTCGAATGCCTCGCATACCTGGTCGCGCAGCGCCTCGTCGGTGCCTCTCTTCCCCATGGGGAATGGGTTGCCGAGCCCGGTGCCTCTCATGATGTTGACTGGCAAGGGGCGCGGGACTGTGTCCGCTCCCGTGTCGCGCGTCTCCGCTCGTCGGCTTCCAGCGACGACCACCCTGATCGAAGGCTCGGCATCCCCCTGTCCGCCGCTGTGTGCCCCCCCGCTCGTGTCGCGCCTCGGGCCGGCGGTCCTCGGGGGGGGGCTTGGCTGCTCCGCCTGGCGTGTGTCGCTGCTGCTTCTAGCCCTCGACCCCCCCATGCGACGGTCCCACTCCTCTCCTGCCCCCTCGTCGTCGGTAGGCTCCTCCTCTGGCACCGGCTGTGAGCGGTCGTCGCCGTCGTCGTCGTCTACGTCGTCGTCATCGTCTCCGTCCTGTTCCCCAGCGGCGCCGCCCCTCCACTCGGGCGCGTTCGTCTTGCGCCATTCGATGGCCGTCCACGTAATCGTCTTTGCGGCCTTCCTGGCTGCGTTGGTCGCCTCTCGCACCGCCACCTGCATCGCGGTGAGGCGCTCGCCGTCGCGCCCCCCTCGCGTGGGGGGTGGTACATAGCCCGTTGCCGCCATTCTCGCCCTCGTGGCCGCTCGTTCGCGTTGTGTCGGGGCGGGGAGGGCTCCCGACGCCGCCGCCCTGAACCGCCGCCACTGTTCGACGCTGGGTAGGTGTCATCAAGTGACCGGCTGACTCGCCAGAGGTCGATACTCTGGACGACCCATAGGATGCCACGAATGCCTGAAGGAGAGGGAGGCGAGGCCAGAGGCAGGCTCAGCTGCTCTCGGGTGATCTCACTTTGGTGGCCGAAGGACCCGATGGTCCTCAGCATCCGCAGGGGAGGCAGCATATGAGGCACCAGTCTTCTGAAGAGCTCAACAGCTGCGGCCGCGATGGTAGAGTCGGCCGCGGTTCGAGCGAGCAGCTTTTGGCTGCGGGATCGAATCGCGGAAGGCTCATGCCCTCGCGGAGCGACGCGGGTCGCGCGGCGCGCGCGTGTGCGAAATGCGACAACAGACGACAGATGACAGATGACAGACGCCTGAGCGCTGTACGACTGAACGACCACGCCGCAATCGCCACCGCCGCCATTTTGACGAGCAGCGCGAGCGCGCTCGTCGGCGGCCAGCCGTCGCGGGCCGGGCCGAGCCCGGCCTCGACCGGCCGCGCCGGGCGCCGCCCCCCCCGCCGCCGCAGCAGGCCGGGAGGCCCGAATGGCGGTCTCTCTTCTTTCCTTTTGTCTGTGTGCGACCCTACATTCCAGGATGGCATTCTTCAAGATAAATGCGCGAGTGGTCAAGGAACCTTCTCTGCCCGAGAATAACAAAAATGAGCGCACTTGCTTGGAGCACTTGGTGCGCAGCCGCGATTTTTCTGCGACCAAGGTGACTCACTCGTCGCGGACTCGAAGTCCGCCTTCGACTTGTGCCGCTTCTGCAATCACCGCCGCGGAAACAATAATGCTGCCCGCCTCCGTCGCCCTCTGCGCTCTCGCGATTCTACTTTTGCCCGCCGGCGCGGCGAGCCACCGCGCCGCCTCTCCTTCGGCCCTTGGCGAGCTCTCGGTCGTCTCCCATCGGCCAGCCGCCAGCACCTGGCGGCGCACCCAGTGCGGCAGCCCGTCCGGCGACGCAGACATCCCAACCAGGTGGGCAAGCGAGGTCTCCGCAGACACGACGCCGCTGCCCGCGTACCCGCGGCCGCAGATGGTGCGTGGTCGCGGCGGCGACCGCGACAAGGGCGATCCGTCACTCTGGTCGAACCTCAACGGACTCTGGGAGTGGGAGCCGGCGGCCGACGCCGCGCCACCCTTCGGCCGCCCGCTGAACGGCGCTCGACTCCTGCCGAGCCTGCCGTCGGTCATGGCTCGCATTCAACCCGTCCACTCCACTCACTAGGCTCGATCCTCGTCCCCTTCCCCGTCGAGTCGTGCCTCTCCGGCGTGGCGCCCGCCAGCAGCGCCACCCTCGTGGCGCAGATGTGGTATCGACTGGTGTTTGACGCCGCCGTCGCCGACGGCGCGAAGACGCTGCTCCACTTTGGCGCCGTCGACTGGCAGGCGACGGTCTACCTCAACGGCCTGCTGCTGAGGCACGACGGCCGCCTCGGCAAGCACAGCGGACGGTCTGCAAGGCGGGCTTGGCGCGTCCGTGACACGTCCGCCTCACCGCCCCACAGGCAACCACACGGGCGGGTACGACGGCTTCGGCTTCGACGTGACCGACCGGCTCAAGCACGCAGGCGGCGAGACCTCCCACCGCCTCAGGACGGCCCACTCCAAATCACCCCGACCTCCACGCGCGCGCAGGCAACGAGCTGCTGGTGCACGTGCTCGACCCGTCCGACGCCGGCGCACAGCCAAACGGCAAGCAGCCTCGCCTCCCGAGACAGCTCCGAGATGCTCCGAGACGGTTCGCAGAACGGCCGTCGACGTGGCGGTAGGCAAGCAGCGCGTCTCCGCCGTCGACCGGCCCGGAGGCGACACCTACACCCCGTCGTCCGGGATCTGGCAGACGGTCTGGATGGAGGCGGTGCCCCAGTCGTACATTTCCACGCTCAAGATCGACCAGGCGTCCACCACGAACGTCAAGGTCACCGCCTTTGTCGAGGGCGGCGGCGCCACCACCCCGGTCCGGTTCGAGGTGGTCGACAGGGACGGGACGACGGTGGCTGAGGCGGCCGGTGCTGCCGGCAGCGAGGTGAGCATCTTCGTGGCTCGCGCAACGGCGTGGTCGCCGTCGGAGCCGTATCTGTACGACCTCAAGGTGAGCACCCCCACCGACGCAGTCACGTCGTACTTTGGGCTGCGCACCTTTGCGCTCGGCGACGGACCCAAGGGGAGGCGGCCCCTCCTCAACGGCAACTTCACCTTCCTGGCCGGCTTCCTCGACCAGTCCTGGTGGCCGGACGGGCAGTACACCGCGCCCACCGACGAGGCGCTCGCCTTCGACGTGGAGGCCGTCGCGACATTTGGGCTCAACATGATTCGCCTCCACCAAAAGGCAGCAACACCGCCCACGCACGCGCACGCGCACGGCTCGCCCGCAACGCATGGCTCGCCCGCGACGGGCCTCCCACCCGCTGGCCTCTCACCCGCCACGCGTGCGTCTATCTGGAGACGCCCTCCCCTGCCCGCGACGCAGGTCAACCCCGAGCGCTGGTACTGGCACGCCGACCGGCTCGGCGCGTTGCCGTCTCGCAAGGTGTGCCGAGATGGACCCGAGGGGTCACCCGAGGCTGCTGGGCGAGACACTAGGCGTGGTCGTCTTCCAAGACATGGTCCAGAAGTACGGCCGCGCGAGCAAGGCGACCGTGCCTCTCTTCGTGAGCGACGCCGCCGCGATGGTCCACGGGCGGCGCAACCACCCGAGCATCCTTCAGTGGACCGCCTTCAACGAGGGCGACTGCTGGGAGGTCTTCGACACCCCGCCGCACGACGTGGCAGGGGTCGTCGCCCTCTTCAAGCGGCTCGACCCCACGCGCCTGGTCGACACCGACTCTGGCGGCCGCGCAAACGACCGCCACATCGCCGACGTCAACGACATCCACTCTTACCCCTTCCCTCACGACGCGCGGCCGAGCGGCACGCCGCACACCGCAGCGGGCGGAGTTGGCGTGGCGTGGTTGGCGAGAGTGCAGCCCGGCGCTTTTAGGCACGCAGTACGCGATGGTTGGCGAGTTTGGCGGCATCGGTGCCTTTGTGCGTGGCAAGGAGTGGAAGCCGCAGGCGTGCCACACTTACCTCAAGGTTGGCACGCCGCAGCAAGGGGCGGCGGCATACGTCAAGATGGCAGCCCGCCCTCAGAAAGTACGTCCATGACACGTCACCGCCCCTTCGACACCGCCCCCGTGCGCCTCGTAGGCGGCGACCTTGCGCAGCCGCGTCGACCACGTCTCCGCGAGCGTCTACACGCAGACGACAGATGTGGAGCTCGAGTGCGCGGCGACGTCTTGAGCCGACCCAGAGAGCGCTACTTCACACGCACACACACCCTTGCGAGAGCAGGTGCGATGGCTTCCTCAACTACGACAGGACGAGCAAGTTCAGCGACGAGGACACGGCCGCGATACGCAAGGCGAACCAGGCCATCATCGCTGCCTCGCGCGCCCGCGGTGTAGAGGGGGGCGCCGGCACTGCGGCCTAGGCGCCTAGCGTCTCTAGTCTCTCGACGACTCGCGCGTCCTCTCGGGCCCGGATGGATGTATATATACGATTACATTTCAAGACGACACGGTTGGAGATGTATAGCTTATAGGAATATTCAAGATGATGCGAGAGACGATGTAGATGATAGATATGTGATCTCGCGACTCATCATGCAGTCGCTCATCAGCGCGGGCCTGCTCCCAGCTGGGACGCTCGTCCCCACCGAGGAAGAGAGCAGCACGACGCAGCCTTTCAGTTTTTACCAACTCGCGTTGCACTCTGTCAGGGTCGACAGCGCAGTACACAGGGATCCGGGATCAACCAGTGACCCGCTGGGTGCCCGTTTCAACCCCCCCTTCACGTGTATTCCCACTCAGCGGTGCAAGTGGTGAAGACGTAGTCGACGCCGTTCAGCCGCGCGATGCCTACTCGCCACGTGCCGCCGTGAAGAGGCGCCGTGAAGAGACGCCGCCCCTCCCCCCCCCCCCCCCGGCCGCGGCGCGCCGGAGCGCAGCTTGGCGATCCACTTGTTGCGATTGCGGCGGACGGACTCGTACTGCGCGAGAACGATGTTGTCGTACGTCCGCTCGTCGCCCGACCCGTCCGAGTCGTCGTCCGAGTTGAGCTCCTCGTCCTCGCCTGGTGGAGCCGCGCGCTGTCGCCACGGTGTGCTGCGGAAGTGACAGCCCGTCCATAGGGCCAGGGGCGATCGGAGGCGAGAAGAGGGGAGGGCGCGGGCATGGCATCTCATCGCGCGAACCCGTCCCGCCCGCGGCCGGCGGCTCGCCCCGCCGCCGCTTGCGCCGGTCTGCGAGCGGATCGTCGTCGTCGTCGTCGTCGTCGTCGTCGTCGTCGTCGTCGTCTCCTGCTCCGCGACCCGACAGCGGCGGGCCCCGGACGGCGCCGTGCGCGCCCATCTATTCACAGGCGCGTGCGGGCTGTGAGACGCCAAGCGCCGGCAGAGAGAGAGAGTGATCCGCGTGGCGAGCAGCGCCGGCTGCGGGATAGGAAGCCCCACCCCCTCCTCCTCCTCCTCAATGAAGTCCTCCTCCTCCTCTGCGCCCGCGCCCTCTCCTCCGCCGCCTCCAGCCCCTATTCCCCCCACGCCGCCGCCTTCAGCTGGAGCCGCGTCCTCCCACTCCTCCTCCCACTCGTCGTCGTCCTCCTCCCTCTCCTCCTCCCTCTCCTCCTCCTCCTCCTCCTTCTCCTCCTCCTCCTCCTCCTCCTCCTTCTCCTCCTCCTCCTCCTCCTCCTCCTCGATGAAGTCATCGTCGTCGAAGTCTGCGTCGCCTGCAGTGGCACGGTACCTGTCGCGGACGTGCCCCCACCCCGACCCCCACGACGCAGTTCCACTCCGCACCATCGAACTGAGGCACCCGCCGCGTCACCTCATGGCCCTCCCGCGCCGCCATCCCCTCCCGCCCAGCAACGCCTCCCGGCGGAGAGGGCGGCAGCGACGGAGGAAGCGCCGCCGCGCCGCCGCCACCGCCGTCCGCGCCGTCAAACTGAGGCAGCGAGGGCGCAGTAGATGGGCCCGCCTCGCCGCCTGAGATTGCGGCGCCGCCCAGCTTCTGGTCCACGGCGATGACCTTGATGCGCTCAACAAATAGAGGCGGCCGCGCCCTTTCGCCCTCTCTGGAGCCGGTGAAGACGTGTCCTTTGAAGCGCGCGCTGACGAGCTCAAAGCTCCAGACGTTGTCGACGAAGCGGTACGACTCGACCACGCCGTCCCGGATCTCACCGTGCAGCTCCGACGGCGGCCGATGCGACAAAACCGAGGCGAGGGTTCCCGGTCTCCGCCCCGACATCAAGCTCGCCTGGAGAGAAGGAGCGCAAGCTCGAAGGTGAGCCGCGGGTGAACGGCGGCGAGCGCAGTTGGCGGCGGGGAGGGCGCAGTGGCACCTCGGACAGCGCCTTGTCCGAGAGATTGCGCGCGATGACGGCGTCGAACTTGGACATCGCCACCTCGACGAGGTGCGGCGGGAGGGCTTCGGCGCTCACCATATCGCCGAGCGCTTCCCTGAGGGCCTTGCCGAGGCGCGACTCGCGGTAAATGCTCATCCCTGCGGGACGTCGGTCGCGCGTTGTCCACAAAGAAAACTTTTTTCCGAGTTGCTGCGCAAAAGTTTTGTGTGCGAGGGTTCGCGCTGCGCTAGGCTCAGAGCGAGTTCGCGCTGCGCTAGGTTCAGACGGCGAGTTCGCGCTGCGCTAGCTAGGTAAGTGCTCCAAGTGCCCCTCCCTCCCCGAACGACGAGCATGCACGGACGGCCGGCCGCGAGCTGGAATGAAGGAAGGTCGCTGCGAGAGAGTGGGTGCGGTGCAGGCGGAAGAGACCGAGCAACAACACAACCCCTGCCTAGACGAGTACAGCTGAAGAGTGCCCGGGGCTCCCCATGAGCCGTGGGGAGATTCGCTGACGTCCCTCGTTTGATGAGCCGTGGGGAGATTCGCTGACGGGAGACCTCCCTGTGGGGGCCCGTGAACATCTTTAGCTTGTGAGCCAGGAAAAGGGGTTGGCAACAACAATCAACAACAACTCTCTCTCGTCTGCGAGGGGTAAATAAACATGGGAGACGGCTAGCACGCACTGCACACTCACACAGCTGGACAGGAAGGGCGAGAGGCAGCAAAAACTCGCGAAAAACAGAAGATCGGCCCGCGACCCCGCGAGTGCTGCACTAGCAGTTTCGCTGGGCCAGAAGATCTCGGCCCGCCCGCAGGGTGACTGGGTGAGCCACATACACTGAGAGAGGGAGAGAGAGACTGAGCTCTCCGGCCCTGGATGTGAGGCTACCGACTGCACTCCAAGTGCTCCAAGTGCTCTCTCTCACGCCGCGCGTAGGGAGGGCCTTTAGGGGCCTAGAGAACACACACCCTCTCCCTTTGCTCCCAGTAAGCTAGCTTACTGGGAGAAAACAGCCCAGTAAGCTAGCTTACTGGGAGAAAAACAGCTTACTTACTGGGAGAAAACCCCTTTTCTCCCAGTAAGCTAGCTTCCTGGGAGAAAAAGAAAATTTACCTTTTTCTTAATTAAGGTTCCCCATGCCAGTTTCGGGGGGCAAACCCTGCCCACCCCCTAGAGCTCCAAGTAAGGCCCAGGTGTGGCCTAGGGCATCAGAAGGGACCAAGAGGAGTCCAGTCTGAGCCATAGAGCCCATGTCTTTGCCCCCGAAGGTCGCGTTCAAATGCCCGGAACGGACGTTACAGTGGTGTCCGGCCGGCGCGATCACCGAGCTGTGACGCTCAGGGAAGCCTGATGAGGTACTGGTTTCTTTGCCCAGGCCTGGCCTACGGCCCGTGCTGGATCAGCTGAGCAAGGTTTGGGGAGAATTCCCCGGTCAGATCTTCAGATATTTTGACGGATGACCGAAAATGGGCAAAACCGGGTGATTTCTGACAACTGTCTGGCGGGAGCAGCGGAGGCGACGGCGTCGGAGGGGGTGGGGGGGAGGGAAACAGCGGCGGCTGTGGCGGAGACAGCGGCAGCGGCGGTGGCGAGGGCCTAGCCTGAGGGGGAGGGGGTGGGGGAGGGGATGAGGACGGTGAGGGCGGCTGGGGCGGCCGGGAAGGCAACACAGGCGAGGCGCGGCGCACCTCAAGCTCGAGCGAGTAGCGGGAATATCACCCGCTGCTCCGGCGGGAGAGTGCTCCCCCGCCGCCCCCTGGGTCACCCCGAGTGACCTCGCAGCCCACGCCGTGAGGCGCTGCTGTCAGAGGGGTTTATCACCGCCGTATCCACCCCACACTGGCCGCCGAGGGGCCCGGCGGGCTGAGGCGCGCGAGGCGGCTTTTGCTCCCGCGGGGCGGCTCTACCCGTCTCAGCACGGCGTCCCGAGGTGTAGCCGTGTACCTGGCGGCAGGGCCATCACTCACGCGCCTACTCGCGGCACGAGGGAAGGTGTGACGCGACCGCGAGAGGAGTGGAGAGGAGGTGAGGTTTAGCCCAATGTGAAAACAGATCAGAAGACGGCCGTGGCGACACCCGCTCTGGCGACAGCCCCGCAAAAGGCACTCGCTCGCTGGCAAGGACTACGGGTAGCACAGGCGGCAGCAGAGGTGGCGGTCCGGGTCGCAGCGCGCGTAGCAAGTCGGCCCCAGCGTCACGGGCGTCGGGCCAGGAGCCGGCTCGACGAGATCGACGAAGAGGACGAAGAGGAGGAAGACTACTCGAACTTGGACGAGGACTCGGGCGAGGAGCAGGACTCGGAGACCGGCCAGGAAAGCGACGACCATGACCAGGTGACACGAGGAGTAGATGTGACACGAGTAGTCCGCATTTCGCGTTGTCTGCTGTCTGCTCTCTTTCGCCGCCCGACCCTTTCGCCCGCCCACCGCTTGCGAGCACAAATCTCACACCTCCACTGCCCTCGCCACAGGCGGCGACGGACGGACATACAAGGCTCGAGCGGCGGCAGCGGCTCAACGGCCGCCGGCGGCCGTCGTGCGTTTGCTTTCGCCATACGTGGCGCACCCCCCGGCGTCTGCTCTGGTTTGGGGGCGGAGGGGAGGACTCTCATGTGCGGACTGTTGGGCTCTCTGTGTTAAACTGGCGCTTGTGTCCGAACCACATCAGTCTGACCGAGCGGCAACGCCGCCGCTGGGGGCGTGAGGAGGCCGCGGGGGACGGCGGCGAACCCCATCCTTCGATATAGGATGGGCCCTCACGGCGGCCCGTCTGCTGCTGAAAATGTGGCGTGTTGGGGGCTCTCCTGTGTGACTCCTCTGGCTCGCCGCGTTAAACTGGCGCCTGTGTGTGACCAACCCCAACCCCGGCAAGCGCCCCCCGGCCGCTGGGGCTGCGAGGCGGCCGGATGAGCGCGCGCGAGACGCCATTTGTAAGGATGCCATCCTATAATATAGAACGGCCAGGTAGGGCTGAGACCGCCGAAGATTCGTTCACCGGCTTCTCCGACTGCGCTGAGTGGTAGGGCCCCCAAGGGCCTAGAAATCGCGCCTGCCTCTCCCTTTTCTCCCAGTAAGCTAAAAGTCAGTACATTGTAAACTGACAAATCCGGCCCGCGACATTTGACCCGGTTGATTGACTAGCGCGCGAAACACTCGAGCGAAACATGCGCATGTACCTGAGGCCGCCGCGTCTCGCCGACGCTGATGAGATAGCCGCCGCCTGCGCCCGCTCGGAGCAGGCGCGGCTCCTCTCTCGGCTCGGAGCAAAGCCAAGCGCCCCGGCCGTGTGCGCCATCTGTCTCGAGGAAACGGCAGCGCAAGGCCCGAAGGAGCCGCAACAACAAGTTCTACGCCTCGGCTGCGGCCATCATTACCACGTCGAGTGCCTGTGCAAGGCAGTGAGGCACGGGCACACGTGCTGTCCCCTCTGCCGCTCGGCCCTCCCCTCCGCCCTCACCGACGACGACAAGCCAGAGAGGTCCCATCGTGGCTGCCTCCACTGCCTGCCCCGGATTTCGACGGGCGCGACCGCTGGCACCGCGGTGGCAGCGGTGGCGGGCGCGGTCATGGGGGCGGCTGTTCCAATCAGCTTCATCACGAGTATTCTCTGAGAAGTGAATCTCAGCCCAAACTAGGATTGGGTTCGTGCCGATCGTTTGTGTAAAACAGTGGATCCGGTTGAGTACTCTCCCTGCACCCCGAGTGCGGCAACACAATACGCAGTGCAGGCTGTGCCCAGCTAGGGAGCTACTCGAGCATTGCCTTACCCTCACTCTCGCCCGCCGCCGCCGCCGTATGGCGAGCCGCATCGCCAACCGGGCCATGCTCAAACGAAGGTCGAAGGGTGGGTACCCCGCGAATCCTTGGGTGGCTTGGTGGAGTCCTTCCCACTGCCGCCCTCGTTCGCTGCCGTCTCCCCGGCGAGGCACTCCGCTGACAGAAGCGAGAGCGTGGCAGCAATGACAAGTGCAGCGCAGATCACAAAGCCTTGGGCGTTGATGGCGTTGTACGACAAGAACGAGCCACCAGCCTGCACAAACCACTCCACGGCACCGGCGGAGTAAGCTTCATGCACGTCCGGCGCATCGTGCGTGATCTGCGCCAGCGCAATGCCAAGAAAGCCCAAGGACGTTCCTCCCGCAATTGCCATGGCCACACTGAGCGCGCCCCTTCTTGGGGCCATGGCGAGTCCTTCGGCCAAGGGCGACACGAGCCACGCAGCCACGCCCAAGGAAACGGCACAGCCGACGAAGAGCACCTTGATGAGCATGCGCGGATTTTTTGGTTCGCGAGCCGATAGGACGAGCCCCGTGATGACTCCGGTCGCGATGAAGGCAGTGTCCGTCCACTTCGTGAAATCGGGCGTGGCATCCAACGTTTCTGCCAACAACGCGTCCTGCACTGCAGGGATCGTGTAGCTCACAGCGCCAACCGTCGCGTAGCTCCCCAGCCTCACCCAATAAATTTTGTTTATGCAGAGTGCGCCAAGGCTTTTCCCGACTGACGGAATGTCCTCCGGCTGAGGCTTGGCCACAGACTCGTTGTGGAAAAGGAAGAAGAAAACGACGACAAAGGAGGTAGCGATCGCCTGCACGAACATGAAGCGCTCGTGGTCTTCGGCAGTTTTCACCAGCGTGGGTATGAGCAAGGCGCCGAAGCACCACCCCGCATAGTTGGACTGAACGCCGATGGAGGTGGTCAGCATCTGCTGCTCAGGTGGAAACCACCGCTCGCCCACGACAGCGAAGGACATGCAGCAAACAGCAAAGCCAAAGCCGATGCTGACGGTAGAGATTAGGCACAGATTCCAGTCGCCGTTTGCCAACGCCATCCAGCGCAACCAAGCCCCCAAGCTGTTGCAAAAAGCGCCACAAAAGAAGACCCAGTAGCTCCGCCTCGGCAGGAAGTACACCACGAGGAACGCAACGGGCAAGGTGGTGAACAAGCCCAGGCTGTAGGTCGCGGCGATGTCGGCTGGCGTGACGCCAAAGGCATTGGCCGACAATTCGCTCAGGACAACGAAATCCATGAACATCACTGCGTTTGCGGCAGCGCTGCAGGAAAACGCAAAGAGCGTGAGCCAGTTTTTCGCCGCCATGGTGTCCTCGCTCGCCGGGCGCTGGACGGCCGCGGATGCCCCCGGATCGTGAGTTATCGGGATACGATCGAATACGATCGATTTTTTTCTGTTTCACTCTCCCTTTCCTCCCCCTTTCAAGAGTACTCTCAGTGCCACTACGTACTTTTAATGAGAAAGGGGAGTCACTGTACGTGCTTTTAGCTTAATGGGAGAAAGGAAGGGGAGATGAAGGTGTGTTCTATCTCTCTATCTATCACTATCTACTAACATCACTCTCTCTCTCTCTCAGTGTACGTTGTATGTGTGTGGCTCTTCCGTAGCAACGCTCTCACGTACCGTAGTAGTACAGCTGAGTCGTGGAGGGAAAAGGGGGGGGGGGATGTAGAGCTGAGAGCGCTCATCGCGTGTATGTAGATAGAGCGATATGTGCAGCGCGATTTTGCTGAGAGATTGTTGTAGATATTTCACGCTGTAGAGCGCCTCTACATCGATCGCTCTACAACGCACGCGGTCACGCGCCGGATGTACATGTAGAGCTCTACAGCTCTACAGCGCGCTACAGCGCTCTACACCTCTACAGCCAGCTCTATAGGTCAGCGCGCTCTCACACACTCTTTTAACACTCTACATCCCTCTACACCCTCCCGGCAACAGGCATCCAGACGACTAACCGCTTATGCAAGAGAATTGCGCGCCGCGAGCATGCAGGTCCTGGCGCCGCCGCGTGCGTTGCGGCAGAGAGGCCCCGGCAGGGATGGCCGCGCGCTGTGGTGGCGGTGCTTGGTCTGGCCCACACCTGAACGGTGTCCGCAGCCTCTTGAGGACCTCGCGCGGACAGTCTGACACCGCGCTCCGCGGACGGAGCTCCCGCGCTATAGCTGTGTATCACAATAAGAGTGTGTCCTCCAGGCCTGAACGGATACGATACATACCAAAAAACACCAATACTGGGTAAACACACCATGCACATGCACGTACTGCGTACTTGTACGGCTCTACCTACATCCTGACTCCTGACTTCTCGCGCCGCTGGGCGAGCTGAAATAACGATCCCTCTCTCTGCGCCGATCGAGGGATCGTCTCCACGCGTCGGTCGATCGCCATTCGCGCTACACGCTGACCGACGTCTCTAGGTGGGACGGGTGCGTCTGCCACATACCAAAGCAGTGGGGGAACTGAGCGTCGGCCGACAGGGCCTTGTTGTTGAAGTCGTCGCACTCGGCCGCCATCGCCTTGAGCTCGGCCTGGAAGACCACCCACGCCTTCTTCACCGCGGGCGGCACGGCGCCCGCCTCGCCAACTGGCTCGCCGTTGATCGTGACCGGCCCCTCGAAAAGGTGCGTCCAGTCGCCCTCGGAGCCCTCCTCGGCCATTAGCAGGGGCATCGGCGTCGAGGTGAAGGACATGAGCGTTGCCGACGTGATGGCGGTCTGCTTCGTGCCGCACGACTCGCCCTTTGGCCAATGAAAAGCGCAGAAGGAGACATCCTGCGCGTAGACAGGAACGGTGCCCACCTGCTCGTGGCCGGCGGTGACCAGGTAGCAGTAGCGCGTGAGAAGGTTGCTCGTGAGCTGCCACAGCTCCTCCGCGGAGCAGTCGCGCACGTTCTCCGCTGGGTCCGGCACAAGTCCATTGGTCGTCGTGAAGGCGAGCTCGTGCAGCAGCGTGTACACAAAGCACCGCACCTCGCTGTCGCGGGCAAGCTCCTCGGCTGTCGGGTAGTATTGCGACAGGAAGGAGTTGACAAAGTTCTTCATGATGTTCCACAGCTGCAGCGTCTGCCTGCGGTAGGGCGTGTCAACGCCACCGTGCTTTTTGAGAAACTCGACGTAAGCGCCGTAGTCGAGGACGAGTCGGAGGTAGGACGCCTGATCGTCGCCAAAGACAGCGCGCAGCTCGGCGCCCGAGGGCGTATACTCGCTGGCCACGCTCCAGGCGAGGTCGGTGCCCTTGTCGGTGAAGGCAAAGTTGCGCGGTCCCATCGATTGCGGGTTGATAAGGTTGTTGCGCGCGTTGTCATTGACCGATATGGTCTTGAACTGGAAGGGGGCCAAGAAGCGGCGGACAGGATGGTCGGGGCCGAGGTACTGGCGCGAGGCGAGCACACACGCATTCCCGACCTGCATGTGCACGGCAAAGAGGTGGTCGACTAGTGTCACCAGCGAGAAGAGCGACGAGCGGAAGACGAACTTGACGTACTCCCACTCGGGGTCGCCAGGGCGGTAGGTCAGTTCCTCCGACTCCCACGGTTGCTGGCGAGGCAGCTTGCGCACGATCTTCTTGATCCGCCAGGTGGTCTCGTCAAAATATGCGTCGCCGCCGTACGAGTCGAGCCCCTCGCGCACCGGCAGGTCGGCTAGAAAGTTGGTGCGCACCACAAAGTCACCAGAGTCGACGACTTCGGTCGGCGACGAGAGCGTGCGCGCACGGTAGAGGCGGTGCGCGCCGAGGCCGAAGAAGCAGAGCTGCGTGAGCGCTTCGTCCGTCAGCTTTTCGCGGTACACCGTCGTCACTGTCGGGTACACGTCGCCGATGCGCTCCATGACATACCTGACGGGGTCCTCGCCGGCCTTAAAGCGCTCGCTGCTGACCGACATCGGCAGCTTGTGCAGGTTCTCCTCGATCCAGCGGGAGAGAGAGAACCCTCTTGCGGCCGTTGCCGCCCTGGCGCCGGTGAAGTCCTCCTCGCTCTTGAGCGGGACGCGAATGTTGAGGGCATACGCGATATAGTTCGTTAGCAGCGGCCTCTTGGGTGCCAGGTGCTCGACGAGCATGTGCGATCGGGCGGTCGGACGGGAGTGGGAGAAGAGGATCTTCTTGTACGAGAGAAGCAAAATCTTTGTGTACCAGTCACTCTCCTGCGGCGACGGAAGGGGCGGGTGGTGCGGTGGAGCGCTCGGGCGTAGGTGGGCGGAGTGGGATAAATGTGCCCGGCAATGCGCGACGTCTCCTGAGGTGTTTGGCCCTCCGGGAACTAACGCGACCCCGGGGGAGAGGACGGTGCAGCGCACCAGCAGGAAGGAATTGAGGTAGATTTTTAAAGTCATAAGGATGAGCGCGGCAAGCAGCAAAGTCTCAATCAGGAGAAGCGGCAGCATCAGCACCAAAATGGGGAGGGTGAGCAGTAGTGCCAGGCTCAGCCGCAAGGCCACCGACCAGCTGAAGAAGAAGCCTGCCGTCTGCGTTCCCGCCTGCACAACGGGCCAGCCTCCAGGAGGCTGCTGCGTCACGTCCTGCACCGGAGCGACGGCCCTGGTCCCTTTCTTTCCCGCCATGAATCGGTGGAGCAACCAGGCAGGACGCGCGAGGCGCCGGAAGGTCGACCCGTCGACTCGCCTCCTTTGCGACGTTTCACGCGGGCGATTTTTCTCTTTTTTCTAGCATTTCAGATGATTTCTTCCCCCCCCCCCCTCTCTCTTCCTCTCTCTCTCTCTCTCTCTCTCTCTCTCTCTCTCTCTCTCTCTCTCTCTCTCTCTCTCTCTCTCTCTTCTCTTTCTCTCTCTCTCTCTCTCTCTCTCTCTCTCTCTCGCCCGTCGCCTAGTTATTTTTTGCTCCGTGCCAGGTCTGCGCACCAGTTCGGTGCCCAGAGAGAGAGAGAGAGAGAGAGAGAGAGAGAGAGAGAGAGAGAGAGAGAGAGAGAGAGAGAAGAAAGAAAGAAAACAGACAACCCGAGGGAGGGATGGGAGGACGGCACGCCGCCACGACACAGGGATTTTAAGTGAGAGAGAACAGGAGAGCCACGACTAAGGGTCTACGCCCTTACCGCCACGCGGCTTTTTCTCGCCGCTTTTCCGTCATGGCTACTGAGACGTGGGACGCCTCCGCCGTCGAGGCGTGCGCGCTGGCCTTCGCGCAGGCCACGACGCAGCACGAGCGGGCCGCCGCCGAGGCTCGGCTCCTCGCCTTTCGAGCGTCGCCGTCGGCCATACCGGTGGCGATGGAGCTGCTGCAGGCGGGACGGCCGCCGATCGCGCAGTTCCACGCTCTGGGCGCTCTGCGCGAGGGCGCCGGAGCGCAGTGGGCCGTCTTCGACGCGCGCTCCCGCGACGCGCTCCAGCTGTCGCTGCTGTCGCTGCTGGCGGTGCGTGAGCCGCCGTCCGCAAGCTTTGTCGTGCGCGAGGCGGCACAGGTGGCCGCGCTGCTGGCCAAGCTGGCGCTGCTCGACGCCGCGGCGAGCGGAGGCGGCGAGGGAGGCGGCGAGGGCGGCGGCGGCGGCGGCGCGGGGATCGAGACGCTGCTGAGTCGCGTGGGCGAGCTGCTCGCCTCGCCGGACGTCTCGCACCTGCTGGTCGGCCTCCACCTGCTCGAGTCTCTGGTGCTCGAGTTCGGCTCGCCCGTCGGCGGCGCGGCGGGCGGCGGGCTCAACTGGGCGGAGCACGCTCGCGCCCGCACCGCCTTTGGGCGCGAGTACCTCCTCCCCGCCATGCACACCGCCCTGCGGGTGCTGCAGCGCCTGCGCGATCAGCTGCCGGCGGCGGTGGCGGCGGGCGGCGGAGCGTCGGGCATGGAGGGGCTGAGGCTGGGGGGGCGCCTGCCCGACGGCTGCGCGCCTCTGGCCGAGAATGTCGCGAGCCTCGTCGCGCTGATGCTTAGCTGGGACTTTGACAGCGCCGGCGACGGACCGGATCGTCCCGCAGTGCTGTGGCGAGGACACGCCCCCATGACCGTCGGTGAGACCTGTGCGCACAGGCGGGGCCGCGGAGAGGCCGGAGGAGGGCGAGTCGCGGCCCGGGCTCAACGCGACGGTGGTGCGGCCTCCCTCCGAGGCGGGCGCGTGGGGCGACGTACTCGGCAACGCGCAGCTCCTCGCCTGCTCGGTCGGAGCCGCTCGCGTCCGGGACGTGCGGCATGGCGTGGACGGTGTCGTGGACGTGTCCTGGACTTGATCGTAGGTCGAGCTGTACGCCGCCGCCGCCGCGGGCGGGGCCGCGTACGCACAAGCGCGCCACGCGCTGAGGTGCGCCGATGCGCAGCGATGGGAGCCGAGATGCGACGAGAGGAGCCGAGATCGGCCGAGATGTGCGCGCCGCACCCCGCACCCGCGCCACCGCGGCAGGCAGCTGCTTGTGATGCTCGCCTCCGTCTCGCGCCGCCTCTTCCGCTCCCCCGACGCGCACGCGGAGCAGGCGTCCGCTGCCCTCGCCGCCGCCTCCGCGCTCGCCGCCGCTCACCCGGCGGTTGCGCAGCTCGGCGGCGACGGCGGCCCGCTCGGGCGGCTCGCGCCGTGCGGGCTCGAGGCGGAGGAGGCCTAGATGCGGGGGAGATGCAGATGCGGGAGAGGTGCAGATGCGGGAGAGGTGCAGATGCGGGAGAGGTGCAGATGCGGGAGAGGTGCAGACGCGGGAGAGGTGCAGACGCGGGAGAGATGCGGGGTATGGGGCGCTCTCCGCTGCAGCCGGCACTCGGCCTCGTCCGCACTCGCAGCCCCTCGCATCCCCACCCAGGTCCCCACCCAGAAGGCGGAGGAGGAGGCGGGGGTAGCCCGTAGCACGAGACCCCGCCCCTCCCCCACTCGGCGCCACGCGTCCGCCCCCTAGGCGGAGGAGGAGGAGGAGGAGGCGGGCTGCGCGTTGCTCGACGCGGCGACCATGCTGCAGCGGCTCGTCGCGGCGGCGGGCGCAGACTCGCTCCTCGCACTGCCGCATGGGTCCGCCCAGCTGCTGCTCGTCTCGCTGCACAACGGCGCCGTCGCCACCGCGGCCGCCTCCGCCTCCGCCTCGGCGGCGCTCGCCTACGAGCGCACGCGCGAGGCGGAGGCGTTCGACGTCTGCTCCGAGGCGCTCGCTTCTCTGCGGCTGCAGGCGCGGTACGGAGGAGGAGGCGGCGGCGGCAGGGGCGTGGGCGGGGGCGATCGCACGGCAGCGGCGGCGGTGGACGATGCCGCTTGGCGCGTGTACGCGGCCGCGGTCACTGAGCGGCGGCGCGCGGCGTGCGCGGCGGCGGCGGAGGGTGCGGAGGAGGAGGTTGGGGACGGCGGCGAGGCGGAGGCGGATGACGCGGAGCGGCTGGCGACGCTGGCGACGCTGGGCCGCTCGCGCGCCGCCGAGGCTTGCGGCCTGCTCGGCGCGGCGCTGCGGGAGACGGGAAGCCGGTGGCGCGCCATCGCGACGCACGTGAGCGAGCGGCTCGGCGGCGGCGGCGGCGAGGCGCTGTCTGCGGCGGAGACCTCGAAGCTCGCGTCGCTGTTCGAGGAGCTCGTGCTGCTGCTCGATCTCTCCCGCCACTTGCTGACTGACGCGGCCGAGGGGGGAGACACGCCAGAGGTGCCACTCGATATCGCCGCCGCGTCGGACGCCGCTGGCGGCGGCGCGGCCCCCCACCCGGCCATCGGCTTGGTCGAGGCTGCGCTCGGGGAGCTGCAGCCGCAGCTGCAGGTGCTGGCGGCTGCGGGCGACCCGCGGGTGGGCCCGTTTGCGCCGCTGCTCTCTCCGCTCGTGGGCGAGGGCTTCCTCGAGCTCGGCGCGGCGCTGGCCCGCGTCTACCTGATGCCCGATGAGTCGGCCGCCGCCGTCCTGTGCCCGCCGTTGCTGGCGGCGTGGGGCCGCGACACGGCGGGCGGCGCCGCGCTACTGCAGACGCTCGCCGAGGCGGCGGCGGTGTACGCGCTGCGCTGGCGCGGCGAGGAGCGGCTCGCGCTGCTCGGGTGCGGCGTGCTCGCCGCCGCGTGCCGCCGCAAGGGCGCCGCGCCGCTCCTCGCCGCTGTGGCGTCGGTCGCCGAGCTCGCCGCGCTGCCAAAGGCGCAGCTGCCGCCGCGCGCAAACATTCTGCTGCAAGAGGCGCTCGCACGCGCCGCGCTGGCGTCGGCGCAGCCGGCGGCCGCGTACGCCGCGATCGCTGAGCCCGTGACTGCGTCGCTGCGCGCCATGGTCGCCGCCGGCGGTGGCGGCGCGCCAAACGGCAAGCAGAGGTCCGCGCGAGTCGGGTTGCACCCGGCGGCGGCGAGCGAGGTTGCGGGGCTGTGCGCGTGCGTTCGCGGCCTCACGCGCGCGACGACGAGGCACGACGCGCAAACCTGCTTCGCCGCCGCCTCGGCCGCGCTCGAGCCGCTGGTGTGCCTCCTGCCGCTCCTCGAGTCGGAGCCGTCGGCAAGCACGCCGGTGCCCCCCCTCCCTCCCCTCCCCTCCCCCCCCCGCCCCACCCCGCCCCGCCATCCCCCGCGAGAGCTTCCCCCCCAAAGCGCGCCTCCGTGCCTCGCGCAGGTGCTGCGCGCGCTGCGGGACGCCGCCGGGGCGTGGATGGGGTTCGGTGTAGATGCACGTGTTCGATGGTATTCTCTTGTCCTCACATCGCAGCCGTTGTACTCGCCCCCGTGTTCGCAGGAGACACCGGTGTGGAAACCCACAGCCCCAGCACGGAAGGCTCCTGCTGTAGGCTCCTCTCCCTCGACGCCGCCGCACACCTCGCCCGCGCGTGCGCGGCGGCGGTGGCGACTCACGCGCAGCTGCTCTGCGCGCTGCCGATGGTCGGCGACCAGGCGACGGGGCTGCTGCCCGACAGGGACCGCAGCAAACAGGCGCGCAGCACGCCCGACGCCGGGTAGCGCCCGGACTCCCCCCCCCCCACCGCGCCTCCCACCGCCGCTCTCTCCCCACCCTGCCGCCTCAGCTGCCACCCAGCCCCCCTCGTCAGCATACTCCGGTGCGTCAGGTGCGGGCGATGCTCGACATCGTCGCGCACGTGGCGTCGCGCGACCCCGCCGACGGGGGGCCGGGCGGAGGCGGCGGCGCGTCGGTGGCCGCAGCGCACCAGCTCGGCGAGGCGCTCTCGGCGTCGCTGCACGCGCTGCTGCCATGCGTGGTGCCGCCGCTGCTGTGCGAGGCCAAGCTGCTTCGCGGCTACCTGCACATGCTCTCGGCGCTGCTCGAGTCGCACGGCAGCCGGGTGCTCGCGCTGCCCGCGCCGCTCCCCGCCGCCATCGGGGGGCACTTGATCGCCGCTTTGGCCCACCACGAGCTCGCCGTCGGCGGAGCCGCTCTCGACACAGTCTTCCAGCTCGCTCGCTCGGCGGCGCTCTGCGCCGCTCAGGCGGAGCTGCCTGCGGCCGCGGCGAAGCTGCTCGCGGTGGCTGCTGCTCGCCGACCAGGCCTGAGATAGACCCGAGATTTGCCCGAGCCTAGGCGGAGCTGCTCGCGGGCTTGCTGCAGCGGGTGGGGCTCGCGCTGCTGGGCGGCAGCTTGCACCCCGAGCTGGTCGACCCTCCTGGCGGCAACGCGCTCCTCGCGCTCATCGCCGCCGCGCCGCACCGCTGGCACGAGGTCGCATCCTCGCTCGTCGAGCTGCAGCCGACGGCGGAGGGGAAGCAGGCGGCGACGCTGGCGTTTGGCGCGCTGCTCACGGCGCGCGGCGTCAGCAGATCGCTCGCCAAGCCGAACCGCGTAAAGTTCCGCGCAAACTTGGCCGACCTCCTCCGCCTCACGCGCAGCGCGCGGTTCGCCATGCCACGGCTTGAATGAGGCGTGAGGGCGCAGCCCACAGAGAGGCGAGAGCTCCGCGCGAATCGTCGCGAGAGCGAGGACCCTCATATTCAGATTCATTCACAGCCTCTCTGGTCCACTAGGTTGTCGTTTTGCGCCGGTGGTTCGGGGTTTTATGTGTATGTGTGTGTGTTAGCATGAGACCGCTACGTCTGAGACCGAGGTGTGGAGCTGCGGCGGCGGTAAAACGACTCTCTCTCCCTCTCCTCTCTTCCTGCGCGCGCAGCGCGCAAAATTTTTTGGCGGGAGACAATCGTTGCGCGTACGCGTCCCAGCACCCAGGTCCGTGCGGGGTCACACACGGACAGCTGCGCCTGATGAGAGTGGCCCACGCGGCCGCTTGCGCCGCCGGCGCCGCCTCAGTAGGATGAGGAGAAAGGGGGCGGTGACGATGATCGAGCACCAGAAGGGCAGCATCAGGTGGTGCGCCTGCGGCTCGTCCTACAGACCGGAAGCGTCCTCCGACTCAGAGCGCGGAGGGGGGGGGGGGCACAGGCAGGGGGGGGGGGGGGGGGGGCCATTGGCCCGTGGACTACCACCCGGCCACTAACTTGTGGGGGTGGGGGGAGGGCGGGTTAGCTGGGGCCGCGGCTCGGCTGGCGCGCTCCCTTCGTGCCGGTCGGCGGGCTGGTGGTCGTACAAGCCCAATACCTTAAGGTGCGTACTTTTGTGCTCCAGCCAGGCCTCGAGAGGACGGACTCACGCGAGGCTCTGAATACACTGCACGATACCGCAGTCCCGCCCCGAGGTTGGCGCATTCGCCATACGTAGGCTGATGCTGCTCCTCGCTGCGAGCGTGCGGCGGCTGCTGCCGGAGCCGGTGCGAGGCCGCGCAGGCCCCATCCGCCACGCCCACAGCCAGGAGGCGCCACCGGCGACGCATGGACTCCTCCAGTGCATCGGCTCACTCGAGAGTAGGCGTGGCCGCCGCCTCGCCATACCTCGTCATA